CATGAATTTAAATTTACTCTTTTTTTTTTTAAAAAAGAGAGCCCCCTACTCTAGTAATCTTTCAATCTTATACTCCAAGATCATCCCTCGTCATGCTTGTGCAGTGGGTGCTTGTCAATGTTAGGTGTGTTGGTGTCAAATTTCAACCACCCAGCATCTACAAGTCGTTGCACGCGGAATTGTAGGGCCTTGCATCGCTCCACGGAGTGCCCCGGAGAGTTAGAGTGATAGTCACACCTTTCCTCAAGTTTGTACCACAGCGGGTAAGGAGGGTCCATCTTCTTCGTTGGAGGAAGTCGGACTATCATCGAAGCCTCTAGGAGTTGGGGTAGTAGCTTTGTGTATGTGATGGGGATTTTGTCTACTACCTTGTCGTCTCTAGGCTTTGCCTGTGGTGTGACTTGACTTTTTGGAGTAAAGATGACGGCGTGGACCCCTTCTTCCCTCTTCTTTTCATAGATCTTCCTAGGGTTATAACTTGTCGAAGCCTTCCCTATCTTCCCGCTTTTTAAGCCTTGCTCAACCCTTTCTCCTATGGTGACTATGTCGGCAAAAAGGGTCGACGTGTTCCCTATCATCTTGTCATAATAGGGTCCACTTAAAGAGTTGATGAACATTGTCACCATCTCCTTGTCAGATAATGAAGGCTCTATTTGCGGAACCAATTCTCTCCATCTCTGTGCATAGGTTTTGAAGGACTCATCGCCCTTCTTGCTCAAGCTTTGTAAATCAGACCTATCAGGAATTAGGTCGATGTTATACTTGTATCGACGAAGAAAAGCATCGGCTAACTATTGCCATGTTTGGATCTTCCCTCCATATAGTTGCATGTACCAGTTGAGAGCGACATCTGAAAGGCTTTCCTGAAAACAGTGTATCAGGAGCTTTTCATTGTCCACGTAGGCTGCCATCTTCCTACAGTACATTGTTAGATGTCCTTTTGGACAACTGGCTCCGGTGTACTTTTGGAAGTCAGTGATTTTGAACTTGGCGGGGAATTGGATGTCTTGCACCAAGCACATATCCGCAGCCTCTTGAACATCATAACTGTGGCCTTCCACAACTCTCAGTCTTTCTTCCAAGGAGTTCAGATGATCTTTGGAAACGTTACCGACGTTGCTAGTAGTATTGTTGTGCTGCAATTTGTTCATGGGCTCAAGCATTCTAGCCATTTGTTCCTTGAGTTGTTCAAGCTCCTCATTGAGGACACGATTTCTTTCCTATAGGTCTTCCATAGCTTTTATCTTTTGAGCTCGTGTGAGTACGGAATGTTGAAAAGCCACCTTTAAAGGATAAGATAATTTCCTATTAAGCTTATTTAAATGTTAATGCATGAAGGAAGTCTCTCAACAAAGACTTGGTAGCCACTCCTTTGAACATGAGATCAAAATGTCCTTTTTGGAAAAATTTTACGATGTAACAAAGGTCACACTAATTGGAGTTCATCAGTCTTTGTGAGAAATCTCCTTGTGATCATAGGAATGTATGTGGTATGCATGTACCTCCTTTTTACTCTCTCTTTCATATTTTTTATTTTTTTTATTTTTGGAAAATGCATGATGCCCCCTTTTTAAAGAGGGAATGTATGATTCTCACATATCTTATTTTCACACTAGGTTTTCTCTCACATGATAATGCATTTTTTTTATTATTATTTTTTTTGTGTTTTTCTTTACCTTAGGGTAATTATAAAAAATAAATGAATGGTTTGAATAGACAAAATGCAACAAACATACGCTCGTACAATCCACAAGCAGTTGCGTATAAATCCATGGTCTGTGGTCCCTATTAAGAAAAGTGCATTGTATAGGACGGTTCTAATTATCCTCACTTTGGTCTTAAGGTCCCCAAGGTGCCCCCATTATAGGGACCCAGTATCTCTGTCGCCGTCACCTGGCAAACTCTAAGGTTTGTCGCAGTATTTCAGGCTAGAGTAACCGGTTATACCTTGAGTGTGATTTCCGACAAGGCTCGCAGGCTCCAAGGCCAAACTTGGGCCGGTCGTACGTCAACCACTCCCTATGTTTAATACGCTCATGTCCCCGGGTCTAGGGGGAACTGTTGTGTGCAATGGTTTGTGTACAATTTTTATTCCAAACATGTGCGAAATTTAAATAAACAAACAGATACCAAAGCTAAATAAAGAAAACAAACAAGGTAATGGGGAAAAATATTTAAATTATTTATTCTTATTTTGTTAACTTCATCATTTATTTGGGCCTGACCCTCTTAAAACGTCCCCAGTGAAGTCGCCATCTGTCGCAACCCAAAAATTTTCGATCTCGCGACTAATGGTTTAGACATCCTTTTGAAAATCTCATTAATTAAGGAATGCCCGGACACCAGACTAATCCTTAATTAATGGTTTTGAAAAAATGAGTTCATGGAGTCACCACCAATGTTTTGCTCAAAACATTGGAAAAAGAAAAGTTTTTTTAAAAGAATCCAATAATGGCCTTGATAACCAGAATTGGGTTCGGGGGTCGGTTACGTATAGGGAAGGTATTAAGCACCCCTACAGCGCCTTCAATCAGTACCCTATGATGAAGTTAACGTGATGAGAATTAATAATTTAAATATTTAATCCCCTTTATTAATTTATTTACATGCTTGAAATTTAAATTATACAATTAACTCAAAAATATCTACATGATTGCTTTTAATATAACAATATTTATGAAAGATAACAAAATAAAATAGAGAGAAGAAGATTGATTGAAATACCTCTTGAACGAGCTCTATTGAATCTTCGAATATGAAGAAGGTGCTTTGTGACGACCTTTCACACTACAATATGCCTCACAGATCTCAAGAAATACAATAGGAAGGAGAGAGAAAAAAGAGATGCGACACAAATCTCAAGAAATACAATAGAAGGGAGAGAGATAGAGAATTTTTGTGCTCAAAGGAGACTTCTTCGAAATTTCTCTGGCCGCCTAGAGAACTGTGCCCGAAGCTTCTATTTATAGGAATCAGAAGGGGCCAGAACGGCCTGTTCTAGATTCGGAACGGCCCGTTCTGGCCCAATCGTTATGTGCAAATTTCGTACCCTGGAACGGCTCGTTCTGAAAACGGAACGGCCCGTTCCAGAGTAGAAATTAACACAAATTTTCCCTTTCCAGAACGTCCCGTTCCAAAATTGCCTTGTTTGGAACGGCCCGTTCTGCTATTGGAATGGCCCGTTCCACCCAAGACTCTTTAGGTGTTTTTAGTTACATTGGAACGACCCGTTTTGATATTGGAACGGCCCGTTCCGGGGTTCAGAACGGCCCGTTCCGATTTTGGAACAGCCCGTTCTAGGCTACTAAAACCACCTTATTTGGCCTTTAGGCCTTCTGATGTCCTATCTTGTTGTTTGCTTGCTTCGGAAGCTCCTTCCCTTCATAACGGAGGTCATTTTCCTTGTTTGTGTGCCCCTGGACGAAATTGGGTGTCTACAGGACCAACAGTATGTCAATCACTCCCTACGTTTACGCGCTCATGCCCTTGGGTATAGAGGGAATTGTTGCGTGCAAGGGTCGTGTACAATTGTTATTTCAAATAGGTTCGGAATTTGAAACAGGAAAACAGGTATCAAAGGCAAACTAAAACAAGCAACTAGATATTTACAAACAAAATCAGATAAAATATTTGCCAATAAAATAAAATATCTACAAATATAATAAAAATCAAATAGTTGCAAATAGGATAAAATCAAATATTTATAGAATAAAACCAAATAGAATAAAGTCAAACAGAATAAAATAAAATATTTGCAAATAAAATAAAATCCATATTTATGTACAAGATAAAAAGGGGTAAATATTTGGAATTATTATTTTTATTTTGCTAGATTTTTCATTTAATGGGCTTGACCAACTCAGGTTGTCCCCAACGGAGTCACCATTTATCGGAACCCGAAAAATTCTGATCTAGCCCATAGATGGTTTAGACTTCCAATTTGAAAATCTTATCAATTAAGGAATGTCCAGAGACTAGACTAATCCCTAATTAACGATTTTGAAAAGAGTTCATATAGTCACTATCGATATTTTACTCAAAACATGGGAAAAAGAAAAGATTTTTAAAATTGCAATAATGGCCTTCATAGCTAGAATTGGGTTCGGGGGTCAGCTACGTATAGGGAAGGTGTTAGGCACCCTACAACGCCCTGATTTGGTACCCTATGAAGAATTTAGCATAATAATAAACAATAATTTAAATGTTTACCCCTTTTATTAATAAGCTATTTACATTTGAATTTAAAATTACACGATTTCACCTAAGATATATACATGGTTGCTTTTATTGATTAAAAATGTTGTATGACAAGAGTGATATATTAAAGGAAGTATTTTTAAGAAATAACTCTTGATCGAGATTTATTGGATCTTCAATGGTAAAAACTAAGCATTTTTTGGAAGTCATTCACACTATAATTACCTTACCAAACTCAAGAAATATAAAGAAGAGAAGAAGAGAAGTGTGTCAACCCTATAGGGACTCTCCAAGACTAAATTTTATGATGGAGGACCATTCTATCTCGTGATGTGATGTGGTCGACTCGTTGCGTACTACGTTGTGAATCGCCTCACCAGAGTGTCGAAGCTATCAACTGATCCCACTGGCAATTGAGTATACCAGGCGAGTGCCGATCCCTTGAGCGAGGTCGGAAAAACTTTACACAAGATAGCATCATCGTTAGTGTATAGGTTTACCTGCGTGACGTACAGGTCGACGTTCTCATCCGGGTCAGTAGTGCCATCATAGCGGTCGATGTTGAGGGGCTTCCATCCGAAAGGGAAGGGCGTCTCGATGATGCCGTCAACAAAAGGATGATGGCGGATGCCCGCCCTATGTCTTGGAGCCTGGGCGGGTGCATTGCTGACTTCGTGGTCTGACTTGTGCGTCGGTACATGTGACCGATGCACAGTAGACCTATGGGTCGCCGCCTTGGGTGCAGTCGGTGGCTAGGAGACCAAGTGCCCTTCTTCCTCGTGTTGATTGCTTGGTTGAGGGGGCTAATCAGGGAGGCGTTGTGGAAGCTGGGCGCGGATGCGCTCATTCTCAACTCGTAGCACCGCTAGGTCAGCTTCGTGTCGGGCACGCATGTTCTCCAGGTCAGTAGCATGTTGTTGTCGCATTTGATCGACCTCCTTGATCAGCCGTCTCAATGTCGCTTCTCCGTCCATTCTTGGTGCGTGATCTTTGTTGTCTGTTGCTCGTCTACTATGGCTTCAGGTGCAAACCATAACCGTGGCCGATAAGAGATGTCTTGATCGGCCCCACGGTGGGCGTCAAATGTTCTTACCGAAGATCGGTCAAAGGGGGACGATCTGCTAGGCAAGATTGGTGAGCCTCCTTCGTTGGGTACGTTGGGTGCTTCGAATTGGGAGTGGTACCTGCAAAAGAGACTCCGATGCTAAAGTTAGTCTTTGTGGGTGTATGGGTCTCGTATATGTAATGCACATACCTTAGTGTGAATTAGGGTTTATCTGGGCCTTAGGCCTGAGGTCGGTTATGATCTGTTTAGATAGTGGGCCTTTGTTTTGGCTGATGTCTTGTAGCGCTCATCCGATGTCGTTTAGCGCTTCAGTGCCAAGCTCAAGCTCGGTTCCGCGATACGGATAGTATATATATATATATATATATATATATATAAAGGGAGACATCTGTTTATTTCAGGAGTAAGTTTATCTAGACTTATAAACTTACTCTGTTCAATAACTCATGTTTTATATTAAATTTCAAAGATCCAACCGTTGAATTTAAAGTTCTTAATGCATAAATCAAGTTTATAAATTTTAAAAATTTTAAAAATTATTTAATGTTTCATTTCATTAATTAATTCAAATTGACGGATAATTATAAAATCATTTCATACATTGATTTGAATTAATGAAATGAAATATCAAATAATTTTTTTTAAATTTGTATATTTGATCTATGCATTAGGAACTTCAAATTTAACGGTTGGATAATTAAAATATAAAAATGGCTACCAAAAAAAGTTGAAGTGTCAATTAACACTTTCCATTTCATTTTATATATATGATCAATTGGTATAGAGAAATTTTGCTATCTCCTATTTGTGCTTATAAGAACCACATTAAAAATCTTGAGAATGACACGTTAACAAGGGGTAAGGTGGACCACAAACTTGATCTCTCTATATATTCGTTTATAGCACTCCCAGAAGTTTGTTGACCCTTCATTCTTGTGATATCAAGAGAAAAGTAGGTCGGAACATGATTAGCAAACCAAGCACCAATTCATTCAACATAGTAATAATAAATTTTTCCACTTGCGTCCCTGTCTCCCTTAGTATGTATTCAAATTCTACAAAAAAAGTTTTTTACTCATTTTAGTTAATTTTATTCTATAGAACCCGATAAGTTCTGATCACAGTGAGGAACTTGAAAATGGGATCGAAGGTATAATAAAACATTAGGGCAACGCTTGAATCTATACTGAGTCACTGATCTTTTCTCTTATAACATGTGAGCTAGATGATAACTTGGTTAAACTAGTTTCTGTCATATTTGGAAGGCTATTCGATACACTACGGTTACATAATAATGATTCGTAGGTACTCAACTACCTCACTTTTAACATTATTAATACCGGGAAAAACAAGTTCTACATATTTATTTTAAAATAAAAATAGAAATATAGAATAGATGTGGTTTATAACTAGAGGGTGAGTAATTTGTGAAATATACATATATATATATATACATATATATATATATATATATAAAGGCATACAACTAAATAAACAAAAAAGACATTAGCTATTACCTTAACAAAGGTTCCAGTTGGTGTATTTGCTTGGTCTACATTTTCAGAAGACTGCAAAAAGCCTGATTCATCCACACAACTCGAAGTTGTCATGTTTGAACTTAAGGGGAAATCAGTGCCCGTAGCACCACCACAATTTGAAGCAGAAAATGGCAATGATAAAGAATCATTCACATTGCCTATATTTCTGATGTTTGACATTCCATTTTGCAGCATAAGAGAAGAGGGATCAATGTTAATCCCAAATAAAAGATTGCTCTGAGGATCAGCAGCACCATGGTAAGCAGAATGTTCTCTTCCAGGAAATGGAGGCAAGGCAGCTAGTTCAGAAACATTTGATTGTGATGTTCCCAAGTTTTCTACCTGAGGCAATACACACTGAGAAGCAGCAGATGGAAGTTGAGGTTCAACAGTTATTTGCTTGGATATTATGGCTGCAGAAGATATAACAGAATTGGATCCATTTAAGTTAAGTAACTGGGATGTTCCATCCTGGGAGAATGAACCTAGTAGACTCTGGATCGGGGAAACATCAGAGCCGGAAATATGATTCCTGATAGGTTCAGGAAAGCTCTGCTGCTGGCAATGTGAAGCCAGGGCTTGCAAGGGAGGAGATTGAGACTGGGTACCTGATGCAAAATTAGATAAAGGAGAGATGACATTTGGTAACTGCTGCTGAACAGGCAAGCTTTTAAGTTGCTGCTGTTGTTGCCGTTGATCACTATATGGGTGGTATCGGTGCAATTGTTGCTGCAGAAGTTGTGACTGAGCAGGCACCTGGTTTTCTTGAAAATTGTGTAGAATGGTGTTTTGAGGCTGAGACTGTGGTAATAGTTGCCTCTGTACCTCAGAGGTATGAGCACTGGGAACATTTGAAGTCTGCTGGAACTGCAACAGAGATTGGGAAGATTTTGAAGGATCCATTGTCCTCATTTCCTGGAATGCAGAAGAAGCCATTGCTTGGTACAACTCTGGTTGGAGACCTGGTATAGAAGCATCAAGTCTAGGTTGCATCCATGGTGTAACACCAAGCCCCTGGAAGTTTAAAGATTGCATTCCTTGATCCCCAAGCCCACCTTGGAGCCACATGAATGGAGAACCAATGCCCATGTCTCCATCCTTGAGACCTGACTTACACAAATGAAAGGAAGAAATAAAATTAAGGGGAAGATGTCATGTATCTCACACAAAATAAAACAAAGCATATTGTCACAGATCCCAGCGAATGCCATAACACAATTTTATAACCAAAACCATCACATACCATATAAAGAAGGTAGGCCCGGTGGCCAAGGGCGCCTCAACCTTAAGGGGAATGGAGATGGATACATTGGGAATGTTGTCAAAGGTTCAATCTCCCACAACGAAACTCTTGGCTGCCTCTCCCCTGCAGTAGACTCATCCCATCCAACCTACACCAGTAGACAAAAGTTAAAAACAAATTATACATCATCTCATTCATTTGTAAACACAATCTCAGATATTTCTATAATAGTGCTAAATACTATCATGACAATGGCATATAGTTGCTAAACAATCATGACAAACCTTCACAGAGCGCCAGTGTGAATTTGGCCAGCGGACCGGATCTAAATCACTAATACCAGTTATGGTACCCATGTATCTGGACAAGAACATGTTACAGTAAGTATAAGTGCATCAATGTTTTACCAAAAAAAAAAAAAACCATCTTTCTGAAGGACAAGTAAATATTTTTGTGGCTACTCACAGATTTTGTCTTTAAGAAGGATACAAGCATATATTGTCATGACTAATCACTCACAAAAACTTTTGGTTCTTTTTTCTATTTTCAAAGCACATAAATAATGAATCAACAGTTGTGAACAGAAGTGCACAGCAGAGAATGGTATACAGAAAACAATTGATACAATAATAAAGTTTAGAAACCAACAAATCAGTACCATAAAATGGCAGGAATAAAAATCGAGTAATAGGATCAAAAGTCCACAGCACATTTCTACTGACATAACTGTTGAAGTCACTGTCACAGATCAAAATTTATAGGGGTCCTACTAATACTTTCACTGTTAAACTTGGGATGGAATCATGTGCAGTTACCCACAATGGTGAGTGGGAACTGCAGTGTTCTGTGAATAGCACTATATTCCTTTCTTCTTTATACAACACAGAACACTATCCAACACAAATTACTATGCGGTTATCACCACACATTCATTAATGAACCACATTAAATAAATAAATAAATAAAATTTGGTAAGTAAATTAAAGGTTAACATACTTAATAGGTCTCTTATATTTTGGAGAGAATTCAGACATCCCTCTAGTTTGAATTAGCAACTGGGTTGGGTCCCTATAGTTATTAAAAAAAAAAAAAAAAAAAA